TAATAATAATAGTAATAGTAATACTAATAGTAATAGTAATAGTAATAATATTAGTAATAATAGTCAAGCTGAAACGCTCAAATTTCTTTTTGATGCTTGTCAAATGTTTTCTTGATGCTTATCAAATTTATTTTTGATGCCTTGTCAATTTTTTTGTTGATGCCTATGCCCTTTCTACGTGAGGTCCATCCGCAGCCGCTCTTGCAGGGGAGTCCCATCGTAGGCCGTGCAGCCGTCCGTGACACCTGGGCACATGCCCGTGCCGGCGATTTTGAAGGCAGCTGAGGATGCACCGTCATTTTTGCAGTTCTTTCCCCTCATGACGTGGCTTTGGGGGCATGGGGTTTTGTTGGGAACTAGAAGGACTTGAGGTGCACCCTAGTGCGTTCAATCCACACCTTCGGGCCTTCCTCCGCTGAAGTTCTTCCAACGGCCAGTCATCTCTGCATGCGGAGGCCAAATTCTCTATCACGTCAGCGCTACCCTGTAATACCCGGTAGACCTGAAAGCCTGTAATGCAGTAATTGGGAGCATTGGCCTCAACTTGCACCACACACTGTTTCAGCTGAATCCGCGGTGATTATTAGGCATCAACTCAGTAAACCAAGCCGGGAAGCAGCGGAAAGTTGTGAACATGGCTGCATCAACCGACCCAAATTCTGGATGCACCTTTCCATCAATCAGGGTACGCGTTATCACCTTGGCCCAACTCAACATGTAATGCTTAAGACTCACAACAGCTACGCTGTATGCAGAAAGTCTCAGTCAGGGAGACTAGCTGCAGCAGCAGATTGGTGGGACGGTCTGCCATTGGACATTTTGACGCGCACACTAGCGCGGTGGAAGACATCGCCCGCACAGACGGTTGTGATGTCGAGATGCGCGGCGAGGTACGCAAGAGAGTCATACTGAGTTTGGTCTTCTGAAATAATTTGCAATCCTTGTCATAGTCACCGAGCCCTTGTACTGTGCAGTATGACCATCAAGCAGCTCGTCAGAACAGAAAATAAATTTTTCAGCGTGAATGACACACTGGCAAACATCAAATGCAAGCGCCTCAACGGACTTACTCCCAGCTTACCGTTAGGGTCATGGTCTGTGTGATGAGTGTAGCGAACGCATGGCGCTAATGCGAAAACGTGCACCAGAACTCCTATCCAAATGTGTGTGTGTGTGTAGAACTTTGCCACACTAGGCTGGGCACTCCGAGGAGATACATGCAGCCCACGAGCAATATCACCTTAGGTTCAAGTCCATGCCCGTCACGCAGTCAGGTACCTATCTGGGCCTTTGCAGCATGTGGTCATGCATGACGATGTGTGCTTGGACGGCAACATGGCCAAGCATCAGCAGGCAGCAACCCCCCACACCAGCCGGAGCACAAATGCATAGTTGACCCGATCGCAGCCGGGACACCGCCCAGGATAGTACACGAAGGCCAGTGAAGACTCCCTGAATCATCAGCTTCAGTTCCTCCCAAAGAAGGGAGCTTCCATTTTCTTGTCCGTTCTCCCTATTATAATATAGTAGTTTCCATTTTCTTTTACATTATCATGTTTTGCTATACGATTACAGCGCTCTAGCACATGGGGAAAAGCGAATCTAACGGCATCCTCTGTGCCAATGCGTGGCGATCCCTCCGATGGCATGATGGAGCCGAAGCATTCTCGAACAACCCTTACCCCGCCACGCATCGCCTGAAAATCGCAGCTCATGAGAGCGGTGCACTTCAATGAGCCGCAAGCCGTGTGCTGTTGAATAACGCCCAAAGCTTGCTGCAGCTAGCATGTTCGCTCGGACCCACTTGGTGGAGACACGATCTTTTCCATTATCCCTATATTATCCCCAACGTATACCCCAGAATCCCTATATAGCCCCTATATATCACACAACTCCTGAGGGCTCGGGCACGGCAATATAACCCCTGTATAACCCCCATAATCCCTAGAGTTTCCATCTTCTTTCCCCCAACATATGATATAATATATTCCTGATTATCAGGCCAAGAACAATGCATGTCAGCAGGTGAGCCAAGGAAGGCCGAGGAAATGCTAATCATAAGGGTATAGGGTTTAGGGTTGGGGTTTCTCAAAAAGTAGGGGTACCTTCTTTGGGGGGTATAAGAGTTATATAAAGGGGTTTTATAGGGGGATATACCCTAAATTAAGTTAGGGGTACCTTTTGGAGGGGGTCCATAGAATAAGGATTATAATATATTAGGGTCTATATTGGCGTCCCGCTATTTGAGGAAAGTACCATCAAGGCTGCATCTCAGAATTGCCAGAGCATGCGCAGCATGCGCAAAGTCCTGGAAGATCTTGAACTTCAGAAGCCGTATGATCCGGCCCAAGCGTGCCAGCTTCCTGTCAATGCACAGAGCTGTACTGATGCTCCAGAAGTGTGCTGATTGGAGCATGTGAGAGAGGCTTACAGGGACTGTCGATGAGGACAAGGATACTGTTAATGGAGGAAATCTTGCACCACTTAATTAGAGTCCCTAAACTACTGTAACTCCTAGGACTTTAGGGACTTCAGGTAGTGTCGGATTCCAATCATCAACAGTACTGTGATCCTGCGAATGCTTGCTTCAGAGCATCCTCAACTTCCGTGTTACATGATGACTGCGAACATTGAACTTACTGGTGGTTAGTAGGGAATCAGTTGGGTACTGCCCCCACCCAGTAACTGTCTATATTAGGGGTCCTACTAAGGGCTATATATAGCCATATTATAATTATTATCCAACTGTTACTGAGGGGGGACAGTACCCAAGGAATAAGGTATTCCCATGTAAGCCTATATTGCCTAATATAGGCACTATAGGGAAATTTGAAGGTGCCAGAGGCTTTGCCAAGCCAAGCTTCAGGTAGTCCCTGTAAAATCCCCATGAATACCCCCTGTTCATAGTTCCTGTTTGGGTGTTTCCCAAAATTTTGTTTCTGTTGAGGGGGTGGGGTGGTCCCAATACTAGGGACTATAATATTTTGGAATTATACTGGGGTCTGCCCATTTTGGGAAACTTCCATATGAGCTATAATCTAAACTCCTAGCATCCCCCGTTCATAACCCCTACAATGCTCCCCTGTATAACCCTTTAGAGTGTTTAGACCCTAAAACCTAAATAAAGGGATTATGTAATCCCCTATATAACCAAGGAATTTAGACTATAGCTCATAAATAATTCCTTAGCCCTAAACCCCTAAACCCTAAACTGTCAAGGGCCCTCGAGCCTCTCGGGACAAAGCCTCCCAGCACAACCCCAAAGTTCTTGGGTCTCTCCTGAAGTCCAGCCCCCATTTTTTTGCGTTCCAGAGCCTTCCAGGGCCTCCCAGAACCTTCCACAGAGCCTGTCGCGGGCTTCAAACTCCACCGCCGCAAGGCTTTTTGGGCTGTTTTGTCGGAATCCCAACACCTCCCAGTTTCAAAGCCTCCTAGGGCTCTCCCAGGGCCTCACACCTCTGCAGAGTCTCAGGGCCTCCAGCCTCTTCTTCCAGAACTTAGGCTTTTAATTTTCAAGGGCACTTCCGCTACCCCTGTGCGTTGCTCAAATCTTTTTTCTAAAAATCCGAAACTTGAGAGTGCTCACTGCGGCGGCGTGACAATGAGTGAAAACCAGACCTGGGGGAGAACAACCCCCCCTTGCTGGGTGGGTTTACCCTAAACACTAAATGAGCACAGTTTGGGAACTACTAAGCTGCGCAAGCGCGCGATAGGGTGCGCGCCCCTAACTCAAGCCAAAAGGCGCACACCCCGCGCACGTCCACTGGTGCACCTCCCCAAACCCTAAACCCTAAATCCTAAACCCTAAACCCTAAACCCCAAACCCTAAACCCCAAACCCTAAACCCAAAACCCCTGAATCCTAAACCCCCCAAACCCTAAACCCAAAACCCCTGAATCCTAAACCCCCTAAACCCTAAACCCTGGTGAAATAGTCCAAGCCACAGCATCTTGAGCGAGGCCAGGGATCCCCCTTCAGAGGATGATGTCCTCAGCTTAGCTTCTTGCTTCGGGTCTAGGGTTTGGGTTTTAGGGTTTAGGGTTTAGAGGTTTTAGGGTTTAGGGTTTACAGGTTTGAGATTTTAGGGTTTAGTTTTCTGTTGTTTGCTGCGCTTCTTTTCGACCGTAGGGGTGTATAGGGCGTAGGGCTTGGGGTTTAGGGTTTGGGGAGGAGGCTTTCGAAAAGATATTCGAGTAGAAAATATGTGTACATGTGCATCTCCATTACCACGATTTGGTGTTACTATTATTGTTCTTATTACTATTTGTTTGCGCTAATGTTATTGTTTTTACTACAATACTAGGGAATTGCTGAAACATCTACTGGAGGGAGTACTGTCGTGAACCACTATGTCAATAGCAAGTGCCGTCTGAAAACCAGGACACACAAAGGGATAAAAAGCGTGACAGCCCAGTGATTGGAGTCACAACATACATCTAGTCCGTCTAGTGTGTCTCGGCACAGTGAACTTGCAACGCACTGGGCTGCTGTCAGGGAGCTGTTCACCGGAGGGTGCAATGAGGTAGGAGTAGGTCAATGCGAGATCAATGAGAGCCAGCGTCACACAAAGAATGTCCTGGGCACGCAGCAGCTTGTCACTACGGGCTTGCATAGATCCACATGGGGGAGGTCCACAAAACAAAAGCATGGAGCAGATTGGGCGTCGGAAGTTTGCTAGTTGCTCAGCCTTTTGAAAGCAGCTCTGAAGTCTACTACCTGATTTTTGCTTGGCTTCAAACCAACTCCAGTACCAGTCCGCGCCCAAAAGGTATTCTCGCGCTCCGAAGACCCGCATCTTGACCAGGATTTCGCCGATAAAGAAAACCGTGAAGAAAATCTCGAATGCCTGTCCAACTTTCTAAGGCTAAGGTGAATTCTCATTCTGAATGCGCTTGCAGCTACAACCAGAACATGTTCCGCGAATGCCCTGCTTGAAGAATCATGTGCAGCTTTGTGTTGCCTTTGTTCGGCTACCTCGCTTCCCAAATGCGGAGTCACTAACTGTTGAGTTGGTCGAGCCTGCCAAACAGGGTGGTCTGGATCAATGTCAGCGCTCAGACCCGCGACCGCAGCGCTGAGCATAATGACAAGGGCGGGGACAACGTCCAGCATCAGCAAGAACAATGGACCTCAGTGGGTTTCGCGTGCGTCTTCTCCACTGTTCGTAGGACGATAAGTGTGCATGACCGCAATTGCTTGACACTTGTTGTACAATAGACACCCACGTTGATCTGTTTGCTGAGCTGCAAGCCTGGCAAGACCCAACATTGGAATCTCAAGCACGACAGGGATAGAATCATGACCAAACCCAATACGCCATGGTACAATGCAAGTCGGGCTTGAGCATTATCTGTGACAAAAGCTGCTAACCCCAAGATGATGTTCAGCGCCCGCGGTCGCTTTCTGCCGATTTTCTTTGCTGCCGTCGGAATGATGCGCAACCCCAGGCTGAAACCCATAACATTGAAGACTCCCCGCTGGTGACCGCTGATAGTGCTTCATGCGTGAAAGGATGTGTTCATGTCGTTTAGGAGCGCGACTGTCTTCCGACTCCTCATCATCTATCCATCTGGAGTTCTGCCTTTTGTAATTCACCTGGGGAGAGAAAAGGAGAGACAGGAAAGGCGCGTTCAGCACAAGTGGTGTCCAGTACTGCACCTAAACCCTTTTGCATCCAGTGAACCCTAAACCCGTAAACCCTAAACCTGGACAAGTAACCGACATCTTCTTTGGACTGCCAGGGGGGGCAGGAGTCTTACCACCAGGGCTCTTCTCGTGGCTACTGTCAAAGTCTCGAGTCCCCTGCGCAGAGATGGCTTTCCTGAGCTTGAAGCAGTTCGAGTTTAGGATTTAGGGCTTAGGATTTATGTTTTTTCGGCGCCCCTTGTACGGTTTAGGATGTAGGGTTTAGGGCTTAGGATTTAAGGTCTATGGTTTAGGATTTAGGGTTGGCCCTGGAACTGGAAGGGAAAATCAGGGGGGTAGTAGGGAATAAAGGTGTATATATATATATATACACACACTGTATTCCCTTAAATTCCCTATAATCGGGGTCATATCTTTAAGGCTATATATAAGTATATTACAAAATATTATCCATGTATTCATGAGTAGGGGGCAGGTACCCGAACTAAACATGACCAAGCCAATTGACTACAGGCAGATTTCTAATCAAACTCGCTCCATGGAGTCATGGTACCCACTCTCCAAACTGCACAAGGAGCTGCCTCTAGGATTTTGAGGGTCCCCATAATAAGGACTATAATATATTGGGGTCTACATTGGGGTCCCATTATTCAGGGAAACTACCATATTCAGCTGAGGCACACCGGCTCAATGATCTCACATTCTTCTCCACGTATATGCCAAAGAGGATCTCCTGCAATCTCGCCGGGCACCTGTCCCAGGAAACTTGAAGAATACGAATGGGTGGTTGTCAATATATATATATATACCTAGAGCATATAGGGATAATGGAAAAGAAAATGGAAACTATTATAATGGGTTATATAGGGGCCCAAATGTTGGTCGCAAAGAGTCAAGACCTCCAGCAACTTGGCGCCAACCCTTGCTGCAGGAAACTGCGAGGCGAATCACGCAACAAAGAGGCCTATAAACCCTTTCTTGCTAAACCCCTGAACCCAAAACCCTACATTCCTCTTTCTCCCAGGGCGCGGAAGTGGAAGGCGTTGCAGCATAGGCTACGATGGGCTGTGCAGGAGGGCTGGAATCTGCGCTGGAGCGACGAAGGCTCCAGAGCGGATCCTTCAGAGCTGGCTGCCAATTCAAGGGTTATATAGGGATAATGGAAAGGAAAATGGAAACTACCATCTTATAATGGGGTATACTGGGGTTAATATAGGGATAATGGAAAATGAAATGGAAACTACCATCTTATAATGGGGTATATATTGGGGTTTATATAGGGATAATGGAAAATAAAATGGCAACTAACTATATTATAACATGGTATATATTGGGGTATACAGGGATAATGGAAAAGAAAATGGAAACTAACTACTGTATTATAATATGGTATATATTGGGGTATATAGGGATAATGGAAAAGAAAATGGAAACTACCATAATGGGTTATATAGGGTTTAGGGTTTAGGGTTTTAGGGTTTAGGTCGGGTATTGCCCCCACCCAGTAAGAGTCCATAACAAAGGTCATAAAAAGGGCTTAATTACTAAGGGTTTGATATATGGAGGGCTACATATGTGCATATTATCCTTATTCTGCAAATGTTACGGAGTGAGGGCAGTACCGCATCCATGCAGTGCTAACGTCTTGCAAGGGCTGGACAGCCTCTTGGCACCCTCTGCTGCAGATGAATGTAACCTAAGCTTCCACAGAATTGTCCATTTTCTGGTCCATGTGATTTTCCATTACTGTATAGTATTTTCAACGTTCTTCTCCATTCCTCTACGGCCCCCATGTATCTACGTGCCGTGCTGAAAGTTCACGACCTTGAGGCAAAGCTCCCAAAGCAGACGCAGGCGGTATATAGGGATACATGGGAATTTATTACGGGGGAATGGGAAAGAAATGGAAAGCACTAGTGCGGCGAGTCACATGGAAGACAACATGGAACATGACATGGAAGCTAGAATTATATCCATTCCCTCAAAGCAATTAGATTTTCAAGCAGTGCGGACGGAACTACCACCCAGGAAGAGGCTCGTGTGATGCAACAGTATCAGTGCACCCCGCACCCCATCCCAAACCGCTCCTTCTGCAACTCTTTGCGCAGCTCTATGTTCTCGGTGACGACACGGTCATACTCCGCATTCAGCGCCGCCAGATAGCGACGGAAGGCTGGAGAATCGCCCATGGCGATGGGGCGGCAGGCAATGGGACGCTGAAGTCTGAAGTTTAGCAATGGGGGGCTCTTCCCAATTCTGGTTTGTTCGCGGGGATAGTCTGACTTTTCATGAACTGCCGATGCCTGGGGCCCAGCGGACAGTTCTGACCTTTCAACGGGCAAAGGAGAGAAAGCAATTCAGGTTGCATCGTTGGGTACTTTCAGCATGCTACCTAAAGAAACCCATGGAAGCTTGGAATTGGGACCTGCGAGCCATCAGGAAATTCCAGTTCATGCTTATCTCACACGCCCGTGAACCAGAAGGCCGAAGCTCGGATTTTTGTCCAGCTTCATACAATCTGCTGGAAGGCTACATTATGCCCTCCAGACGTAATGTACATCTTGAAGAGCTACTTGCACCCTTGCAGGCTTGCGTTTCAAGGCACGTGATCATTCACTCGAGTGCGCGTCCGCTTCGCGTCCACCATCAACGCAGATCCTGAACAACGGAAGAATGCACTCCTGCATGGCACGTCGGGCGGCCAACGTAATGCAACAGGAAGCACAATCAAAACGTAATTAGGTACGAAAAGCGCAGTTGCGCAGATGTGAGGCCCGAAAGAACATCCGGAGGAGCCCTGAATGCGTGACGGCCATTGGAAACCAACCTCGAGACTTCAGCAGAAGGACGAACCTCCAATTGCAGGTCTTTCAAATCCTGTCCTGAAAGGACCAACGGGCTCCCCTTTTGGATACTGAAGCTCACAAACAACAGCCTGCCTCTGGACCGGGGAACTGGAGGTGAGGCGGCTGAGGCTGCATTGCTCCGTGCTAATGCCATTCAGGTTCTTCAAACAAGGCCTTTGCAAAAGCATAAATGTTGAGTTTCCGCAGCCTGAACACACTCTACTCTCACTTGATGCACAGGCGACTGCTACAGCTATGTTCGAGCCGAAGCCGACCTGGCCACTCACACCTTTTAGTCACAGGACAAGCAGCCAAACTTCTACATAGCAGGTTATGCATCTGTGGCTGCTCGGCCGCTAGGCGTGCTATCGTGCTTCCTTCTTTCGCGCAAAGCTCGCCGCCATCTGCCCTCCCACTGCTTTTTCAACCGTTGCGTGCCAGGCCATAGACTCGAGGTCCAGCAGACAGGTCAGCGCAAGGATGCTGTCACCTGCAGTAGGTGCAAGCCACTGTCAATCCGCAACAAATCTAAAAGTGCTTGCAAGCCACCGGCTCTCTCGCAGATGTTTAGCATGCAGCGGTATAGGAACGAGTCAGCCTCCTTGGGTTGTAGAATATGCCCAGGAGTGTTTTCGACAGACTTGCACGTGCAGGGCTGCTAACTGCTAACTGAGAACGCTTCAGCAGCCTCCCGTTCAATGACTGTTTCAACATTCCAAACACCTGCTCAGGAGCTTGTGTTCCATTTATGTTTCCCAGGAAATGCATCTGCTTTGGTGCGGCGGGGCTCTATGGAGACCGTCTTCATCTCTTCGAAGAGCATGAGCGCCTGGCATGCGTTACATGGCTGCAGAAATTATGCGCGTCTCTCTCTATGGTCGATCTTCTCCTGTTGGGAAACGGCTGGCCTTGATAGTATCACAGTCAATCCATGACAGTGTGTTTATGTTATTCCAACCTGCCTAGCTCACTTCCAGATTCGCAGCAAGACAAGCACGCGAAATCAACACGAATCCCTGCCATGCGCAGTTGCAGTACAACAAGACGCTACAGATAGTGGTTGATGGATAATGATCAGGCGAAAGACACAGACAGAACACGTCGCTGCCATAAGGCGACACTTGTCCATGCGCACACTCTCGCGTGATCGGGCCAACTGCCTACTGGCATGCAAGCGCTCCTCCTCAAAGCGCGCAGACTCGTCTAACGCCAGGAGAGCTGCATCGTAGCTGGCGATGTTTGGCCGCAGATTTGCCGACCGCAGCTCGTCAAACCTCACTACTAATTATAAGATTCAGCTGCATCCGCTGAAGTGTAGTTAGTGTAGCTTTCACTTCGCACAGAAAAATGGTAGAGCTTCAGCCTCGGGGCAATGCGATTGCACTTTGCCACTGCCTGCCTTTGGCACAAGCGCTGACAGCGGCAGTCAATGACACAACGTTTGCCGCCAGATGGCCTTGCAGAAAAAGCCGTGGCTGGATCTACAACTTCCAAGCCCATCATAATTATGCAATTTTGTCCCAGTAGGTGCATGCTGATCATCTATACTTGGGCCCCGAGGGGCTCACGAAGTAGGCTTTTGGCGTAGCATCTTTTCAGGCAATGGAAAGCCTACATGCGCTCACTCACGCGACGGATTGCACTCAACAAAGACAAGAGTCGGCGTCTAAGATCCTGAAGCAACTGCAGTGCAGACTGCCATTCGGCCTCTTCCTGTGAACAGCGCGAGGATGACTACATGCTCTGGCTTCAAAGGGAAAAAACAGGTTGAGTCCTTGACGTCATCGATTGCATGCAGTTTTCAAAGCTGAGGCCTGAAGAACATGCTGAGACCCAACGCAGGCCTCACGGTAGTAGTCAGGGCAAGGCATGACATAGGTGCTTGATGAGACAGCCTTCCCCAAAGCTTTTGCGTGGCTTGTGTTCGCAACATTTCGCAACCTGCCCAGCATCCAAGTGAGTTGGCATGCCAAACTTACGGAAGAACTGCTGGAAACACTGGCCCTCCCTATACCCATTATGGTAACTTAATTTAAGTTCCTTAAATCCCTATATTCCCCCAGTTTCCATTTCATTTTCCATTTTCTTTTCCATTTGATTCTATTATAGGGGGATAATCCCCCTAACATTCATTATATTATAGTAGTTTCCATTTTCTTTTCCATTATCCCGTTCTAACCCCAATATACTATAGTAGTTTCCATTTTATTTTCCATTGTCCCAATATATACCCAATATACTACA